GGGAGAGCAAGATATACATACGGAAACAAATAGAGCGGTCGAATTCTCTCACTCGACGATCCTTTTTTTTCATATTCGCATTCGCATTCACATACCCTCCTTTTACACGATGGTGAACTGGCTCAGTTTAACCTTTCCCATCGCCTACATAGGCATCCTCGTCGGCTCGTTAGCGACCTTCTCCTCCCTATATCGCAAACGGAAAGCTGGTAAGTTTGAACTCGTTCGATGTGACTCTATTTAAACAGTTCTCTGCTTTACTATTTCCTTCTGCCTTTCTGCCTGCCTTCGTAGCTGCAGCTGCAAGTTATCTGTCGATCCGATGTGACGATATCTTTTCAGGTTACCTATTTCCATTTTTCTCTAACTCATAATCTTTGTCCCTACTAGCTAAATCCACCTCCTTAACGCCATGGTTCCCTCCACATTTACAACGAGATATATACCTCTCCCTCACCTGCCTTCACGAGGAGCCAAGCACATCTAAAGCGCCAACAACGACATCAACAAAGGAGAAGAAGGTACCTGAGACCGTGCTAAAGGCAGCTCTCCTCCGACGTGCGGCAGAGGATATCCGCCGTCTGATCGAGTTGCGCAGCCAAAAGCCGGCGCTCGCGGGTCTGTTGCAGAAGGGCAGTGTTGGTGATGATTTGTGGCAGCGGTTTCTGAGGGCGGAGAAAGAGATGGAGGAGGAGGTCAGAGATGTGGTTGCGGAGGTATGTTTAGCTCTCCATTTGTTTTCCCTTTTTGTCCACTCCTTTGGCCCTGTTTGCTTACAATTGTCCATTGCCCAGGCCAACCTCTTCGTCCCCAACTGGGGCAGCACCATCTTCCAGTCCGCCAATGAAATGGTTGTCAACAACCTCCTCCGCGAACGAGTCGAGGAGATCCAATCTACCGTTAAGGAGGAGAGGGAATGGTGGGATAAGAAGAAGGCTAGCATCCAAGAAGAATTCATGAAGGAGTTGATAACCGATTCTTCTACTAAACAGACCAGTGCGGGTTCGGGCTCTGCACCAATTAGACAGAATAGTAGTGATGATGATGCCGTGTTGGTTGAGAGTGGCGGACCCGCTGTTGGTGGCGGCGGTGGTGGTAAGAACAAGAAGAAGAAGGGCAAGAAGTGAGGTTGATGTTTTGATATCCTTCCTTTCCCTCTCCTTTCTCTACTTACGATAAGGTCACTCACTACTTTCGTGACTTGTCCATGGAATGGGTGTTGGTACTCAGGCACCGTTGGGTCTATGTTTGACGTTTACTTTGGCCCGAATGGCCCAATTCTCGAAAACGGTTTGTGCGCCATATACATTTTATTGATCCTGCTGTTTTGTTGTTTTTGTTTCCTTAGACATACGGAAAAATGGGGTTCGGAAACTTTTTTTACTCCTTTATTATTATTTTGCTACGTCTCCTTTTCTCCCGCGCCCCTGGTTGAACACTAATTATTATTGTACCAAACCTCTTTTTACTGTAGCACCAGGTGTTTTCCTTGTCTCCTGTGGTATATACGCTGCTTATTATCGCCCTGGCATATCCTACCGACTGACAGTTTTATCCTTTTCCTTTCTGGAGTTTATTATTATTATATTTTATTATATCCTTGTGTGTATGGATTGTTATTCATAGTTATTATCAATCAAGAGGTATGCAATAGAGCAGCATTGCAAATATTTGAGAGCGCGGGGATGAAGGCCCCGCTTTGTCGAACAACACCTTCCTTGTCCTCCGGCTGTTGCTGGATCTTGCGTGCCGCGAGGTGACACGAGAAGCTCGCATTGCATCAAAGCGCATATACTCGGTTAATACGTCTGCCAAAGGCATGTATTATCATTTACTTTTTGCTATGGTACAATAAAAAATATGCGATTATAGTTGCCCCCCTTTTGTCCAAACTTATCCCAGATACGCCTGTCATCTCCGCCCAGGAGAAGTAGTGAACTTTCTATGATACATAACGGTCAAACAAATTACCCTAAATGCCTTGCCCCCTTTCCCCGGACGATATGTATGAAAAAGTGAGGAGGGAAATAAAAAAGGTAAAGAGATTATACATGCGACCCTGCGTTGAAAACCAAGAGCATGAGGAATGGTAGGTATATCTTTTTAACAAAGATTTGCTCAGGACAAGTCAGGGCTGGATCTTCCAGGTAGTTGAAGATGGGTGATAAGAGAAAATATGATCAGTGAGACTGATTCTCACTGCAGTAACTCCTCTGGCACTGGTTCCCCCAAATACAACTCCTCGCTCTCTCCCATCTCGAGCGCTGCCTTGCGGATCTTATCCTCGTTCTTGCGAGGATTTTCCGCCAACCGACTTAGCACAACCCGCAATAAATCCGAATACAGGTTAACCTCATGATCCTTCCGTGCTTTTATGTCTAGATCCTCTATCAGCAAGCCCTGTTTGCCCAACTCGACTACTTTCCTATCACGAAGCGTTTCTAGCAGCTTCGTCACGTGTTGAAGACTTTCCTTGCTGCGTGGGTTTGTGGAGATGCGCCGTCGGTGGCGGCGAGTCCTTTTGTTGTCTTCGAGTTCCGGTGGTGGTGGGAGGAGGCGGACGACTTCGAACATTAGGATGCGCGCTGTGACGACGTCCGGTATGTAGCCGAAGACATGCCGCATGGAATGCAGGGCGACGATCGTGCCTTGCGGGTCGAGCGAGAAGGAGAAACAACGGAGGATTTGGTCGTAGAGGTCTTTGGTGAAGAATTTGCGGGCGTTGGCCTGACTGCGTGGGGTGAGGCTGAAGTACCAGTCCATCATTTCGCGGTAGAGGACGCGTGCAGTGGGGAAGTTTGAGTCGAAGGATGGTCGCGCACGGTCGTATTGAATTTTGGCGCAGTCCCAAAGGCACGCGAACGTTTCTAGATCGGGGCGGACAGTCGCCGACATTTGCTGATAGCGGGTCCAGACGCCAAGGACGTCCTGTTTGCGCAACTCTGCAAAGAGAAGGTGGTTCATAAAGAACACATTAGGCCGCATCTGGGCCTTTTCAAGGCATTCAATTACGTAGTTGGCCATGTGTTCTTGGCCGCGCCGGGTATAATAGAGTAATAAGAGGGAGAAGGTTTCAATGCTTGCAGGGGGAACAGTTCTTTGTTCAAATTTGGGGATACGGATGCCATCCCCGCCATCGCGAACTGATGGCTTGCTCGATCCGGGTAATGGGTTCTTCTGGCGGGACCAGACAGTATCAATCCGTTCCTGAATCATCGCCCATCCGAGTTTCTCGGCCTTCTCTCGGGCAGTGAGACTTTCTTTGCGGAGCCAGCCGCCTATGACTCCATTCATATGTTTTGCATCGGGGTTAATCCCACGTTCGTACATCAATTCAACAACTGCAGCAGCAGAATCAACCTCGCCCATGCCAATTAACTTCTTCATCCAACTCGCATAGAAGAACTTGTTTTGGAACTTCCGGGGCATGATCGTAAGGGCAGATAGTGATACTTTATTCACGTCCGCTTCTGTAATGCTTGAAGCTTGCAGATTGTCAACAAGGCCTAGGGAGGCGTGGTAGAGAGAAGTTGAGTCGGACGGCGAGGATTGTCCCGTGAGCATCATATCCTTGAATACTGCAACGGCCATGTCAACTCGGCCAGCTTTTAGGAACCCAACGCTTATCGAATCGTAGTCATTCATATTTATATCAGGCCCAAGAATTGTTTTGAGCCGTAGATACAAAGTCCAAGCTCGAGCACCGTTTGTATTGCCAGGGATTTTAGCCCAGGCAACGATTATTGGTATTAGAATGCGTGGAGGGCGGGAATGGTCATCTGCCAGAAACGCCAGTGCGAGATCTTGCGCACTTTCCAATTCTCCATTTGCGATCAATATTTCAACCCCCAAGTTCCAAAACTGCTCAACCTCCGTTCTCGATGCGTAGTCTAAATGTTTCTCGCGACTTTTCCACATTGTAAATGCCTTATTTGACTGGCCATTTTCAAGAAGGAGTGTAATGTACCGCAGCCATTGGGGTTGCATCAAATCTCGACCATTTGAAAGAATATCTTCGGCCAAATCCTCCCAGTGCCCCAGCTGTGGGACTTGGGGGCTGGCGCTCTGGCTTTGGGAGTTCCACATTATGGCCAAGGTCTCTTCTGGCAATAATTCAATAAAGGCCGGTATTAGGGCTTTACATCGCTGATATGACCTCCACAATTCCTGCCTATTGGCCCTAGTTGGATCTTTGATTAGAATCTTTAGATTCTGATTGAATCGGTTAACATGCGCTTGAGCGGTGTCCGGGACTTTTAATTCGACTTCGAAAGATTCTTTAGGGGATGGTTTGACCGGCTCGAGCATTTCTTTCGGGTTCCATTCAGCTGTTTTCCGCTTCTCCAGGTCCTGAGCCTCCTCCGCAATCATTTCATCCAGCCCGGCAAAAAAGTCTTCATAATGCTGTTTATCCTTTGCTTCTTCCTCAACATGCTCCTCTTCATATTTGCGAACCGCTTCACGGATTATTTCTCTTTGCTTTTCCGGCAACTGTTTCATCAAGGGGCTGTTCGGCCCAAAAGGGCCTTGTTTTATCTCTTTCAGCTCTTCCTGTAGCTCTCGGATTTTGGCCCAAATAACATCTTGTTCGGCCCGTTCTTCTTCCTCTGGGTATACCTCGACTTTCTCCTTGCTCAAACGCGTAGGTTGCTCAAACCATCGTATAGAGGCTTTAAATTTGTTGTTCTGGCCATCACTGTTAGAGAGCGCCGTTATGCCCGAGGAGAAGGGTCGGCGCGTTTGCAGGTGCGGAGGGCAGCAGGAGTTAAGGCGACTCTGAACACCATGACGATGCCATTGAGCCCCGGACAGACTCAGGCGGCGCATGGATGTAGAGGCGCAAAATCAGACCATCGGAGCTGAAGTAAAAATCATATCTTGCCTGTGCTCCGAAAAATATATTGGAGGTCAAAAAGATGGAAAGCAATTATACGCCGAAGTGTAATATTACGTAGCATGACAGCCATACGTTACGATAGCGTATTATGTAATCAGCCCCATGAACACGCAATGTAGGGAGCAGAAAACAACACCGCGTTTAATATTTGATCGAACAGCACTTTTGCGGTCATCGAATTTATTTAATAGTAGTAAAATGACTAGTGTTGATTATCACCACGAGAATCGGGGACTGGAAAGCCTCAACGGCTTAGAGCACCAAGTTTGTCTTTGCCCTTCATGTTTATCAAGCTCCTTTGGACTTTCTAACATCGCGCAGAGTACATACGTATACAAACCTGTCCAAAAAAATACTTCACAGAATGAGCGTCCATCAAAGAGGCGTAAAGTGTCCAGCGCCCTGGCACATGAGAAACAAAATGATTTGCTATTTGCACCTCTATTGGAAGGCAACGAGGACATGGAATCCGTCAAGCTGCGATATAGCTTATTCCAAGAATTCTGGGAGACCCAGGAGCAGCAAATTCAGGTTTGTTGAATTTTTAAGGATGATGTGAAAAATTAAATAAAGTGAATCTAATTTTCAGAAAGGGGATACTCCGTGACGTAGATTCGGAGATTTTAGACCATGTTTCTACGTTCGTAGAGCAAACCTCCCATGACAAGTACGTGGTTGATATCTTCTTCTGAGAGAGTTGTTAACTAATCTATATGTAGCGGCAATGGGCGTATACCCGCCGGATTGATTACTTTGGGCTCAAATTTTTCATCGATAGGACGGCTATTAGATCGATTGCACCGACAAATGCAATCTACCGCTATTGGGCAGGTGGTTGCGCTAGATTCTGGAGACGCATCCAATCTCAAAACTGTTCTAAAGTATATCATTCGATCTGGTACAAGTGTGGTAAGGGATGTGGATGGGGATCAGGATTTACCAACTGATCGGGCAGTGAGTAGTATAACTTCCTGTTTCTTGTCCGGGGCTTCAGCGCTGAAACTTAAACAGGGCCCAAAACCTCTTGCTTATGACCTAGATATTTTGCATGACCACGTAAAGCAGAAAGGGATTAGGAAAGTGGTAATTGTCTTTCGAGACAGTGAAGCCTTTGACCATGGCTTATTGGCAGACCTAATATCATTATTCAGGTAAGAAAACCTCGAAGAATTCGAACCGACCAAAGCTAACGTTTATATAGTTCTTGGGTTGATCGAATCCCCTTCGTTCTTCTCTTCGGTATTGCAACTTCTGTCGAGCTTTTCGAGGCCAGACTTCCGAGATCTTTGGTAAATCTACTGCAAGGCTGCCGATTTGACATTCAGGACTCTGGGGATTCCGTAAACCGAATCTACACTACTCTCCAAATGTGCCAGGAGGGAACTCTATGGTTGGGTCATAACGTGAGCAGAATACTTTTTGAGAGGTCCAAGGACCATTTTCAGAGTCCAGAAGGCTTCGCGAATGGGATTAAGGTATGTGTATTGAAACATATCACAAATGTACCCTCTTTCGGAGTTACAGCACTGACAACAGTAGTACGTGTATATGGCTCATTTTTTCGCCAACCCACTATGTACATTGCTTTCAAAAATTGAATCTGCAAATATCCTCCAATCAGATTTATGCCAGGCTATCCGAAACTTACCCTCCTTCCGCAGGTCAGTATTGAATTTCCGAATATCTTCAAAGCTTGCTGCATAACTCACCTACCATTGTTAGACATGTGTATGGTTTGCTAGACGAGGGTGAAGCGGGAAAAGCCCGAACACTTTTAGAAGACGACGAGTTATTAGCACGGTATGCCCGAGCAAACATTCGGAGTGGTCAGGAAAAAATCAACGCTATGTTACATTCTGTTGAGACGCTATCAACCGTACTACGTATTTTGAAGATCCCTAGAACACCCACGCTCTCTGAACTTACCATTCAAGCACTGGCTGGGGAGCTCCTGGGTTCAAAAATTGTTGAAGACATGCTCGCGGGACTAAAAAAATTGCCATCCAATACCATCGAAACTATTTTGGGCGCCCTCCCACAAGGAATGGTGGAGTTTGATGCATCCAGGGACGTACAGGGAACGCTCCAATCATTATTACAAAATAAAAAAGGCTCCGGCCCTCTCCGCAGTGAATACGATGAATATCATTCAACCCACAAAACAACGGTTGTTGGGCAGAGAGTCAAACTCACAAAATCCAAAGCAAAATTATCCAAACAAGACATCGAATATACTGCTTTTGTCAATGATCTGAGTGCTGCGTTCCAGGATTACTTCTCGATTAATCTCATATCTCCACTCGACCTTTTCATGCATGAGGCATTCCTCTACGACTTGAAAACACCCATAAAGGGTGCTTTTACCCCTCGACCTCGTTCCACGATCGAGCGAGCTTTATCTACTCCATTTGACTACCTGGCTACAAGCGCGCTTTCTGCGGATGACGAGGAAATGATGCCTTCCAAACCAGCAATCTCGATTCTTTATAATCTCTATTCGGAAACAGGTTCCCTGGTCAATGTATATGACCTGTGGCGTGCCTATTATACAATGGCGGGCGGTGATGATGGAGAGGAACCAGATGAGCGACAGACGTTGGCTGTATTCTACCGCGCTCTATCAGAATTGAAAATGATGGGAATGGTCAAGCATAGCAAGAAGAAGATTGATCATTTGGCGAAGTCAACGTGGATGGGTTTGTAATATTATAGGTGTCTAGCGACGATGTACACAATGCATCCATAAGAAACCATGGGTGTCAATAGATAACTGCTTTTCGGAACGAAAAGGAAAGATATAGGGGTATCATAGTTCTCGTCCAGTGCCATAACAGCTCTGTCCCATTATTACAGCAGCACCATAACTAAAAAATAATAGAGTATTTGTACACCAATTCTCCAAAAACGCCGGTCAACATAAAATCCCTTTTCGCCTTTTGTACCCGTAACATAGCGCGATCCTGTTTCACGAAAATGGCCACATAGACCATGAGCGCCGTGGCCGCTCCTGTCTCTCAACTTCTAACTCTTCTTCACGGAGCTCCCGGTCAACTTCATCTGCCAACTGTGCTAGCTCCGCATCCAGCTCCTCATCCTCCCTGTTCCGAACAGGATGGATAATATTATCTCTCCCCAGGGGTCGTCCACCCTCGCTGAAAACCATGGCTTCCCTCCGCCGTCGACGCAGTGCTTGCTCTTCCGCAGTGCCTTCCTGCCGTCTCCTTCCGCCAGCCCACAGTGGTAAACCTGCAGTTTCCTCCCCGCCAACCATCCAGACATCGCTATCACCGTCAGTTTCATCATCGTCGTCTCCGTCGCCGTTATAGTCTCCCCCAATTTCATCGTCATATATATTGCGAGTGTGCTCCTCCATTCTACTTCCCATCAGCCCATATTTCCGTAATTGGCTGACTCCCTCCGGGTGGGAGGAGAGGGTGCTGATGATGGAGCTCATGACGGAGTCATCTGTATACCAAGTTTTGGTTAAAACAACCACGTCTACTCGTTTGGATTCATCATGCGTGCTGCAAGGGAACGGGTATTTAGAAAGCCACCGACTGATCACGCCGGCCTCCAGTGCAGCAGGGATGTTTTCTCTGAGAATTATGTCGAGAGTGGTTAGAGCCTTCTTTTCGCCTTGCGGTCGGGTTCTGGGAAGGATGGGTGAGACTGGTTTAATGTTTTCTTCTTTGTGTTCGGCGAGAACGTTGCAGAGGCAGTCGACGAGGGCAGTGTAGGTAGGGAGGTCTTTTAGTCGGTTGGTAACGGCAGAACGGGACACTGGAGGAAAGGTGTAAAGTTAGCAGGAATAGTAGGGAATGTATTGAAAAGAGCGAAATGAAGTGAATAAAGGGGACCAAACAAGAAAGGGAATACTTGCATGCTCGATTAGAGACTAGGAAATAGAGAGCATTCAAAGCCTTGTTTCGGAGAGCCGGATCCTTGCTTGACAGGTCTTCAAGAAGTAGATCTCGCGTAGATCCTTTCGTTGATCTTTCGGAGATGATCCGCAATGCCCTATCCGATTGTTAGAATTTTTGGTGATAGAGCGTCTGCTGCTAGCAAGCCCTTACGCTGCTCGAAGATCGAAGCTCGTGCTTTCTGATAGCTTTTGTAGAGTTTCTAGTTTGAGAGCTACCGCTCTTGTTAGTTTACAAATTCTCCCACACCGGAAGAGACAGTGTTACCATCTTCCGTCCCCTCACCAATTACCTGATCATCCTTGTCTCCGTTTCTGATTGTAGTGAGCTCCCGTATGCGATGTAGCTCAGCGGCGATTCCGCGCACAGCAAAAAATAGAGTGACGCCTGCATAGAGCGGTTATTGGCATTTCACGAGGATTGAGAGTCATGGAAAGCATACCTAAACATAGCCATACGACGCGATCATTAATTTGCGAAGCCATAGCCATCGTGTGTCCCTTTTCTCGCGGACTATCTAGATTGATCCCGTGTCTGCGGGTGAAATAGCTGAAATAGCTTGAGGGGAGGTTGGAGTGGCAGAACATTTAGTTATTTATCTGAACCAACCCACCCAAAGGCGGTGAGCATTTGATTTTCCAGCCTTGACAAAAAATTATTTATCGCACGCAGCCAAACAACCAGAGGTTTATTAGCCACTTTCCTCCGATTTTCAGCTACGAGAGATTTTCTCAACAATGGCCCCTTCGCAGCTGAAGCAGCTGAAAGCCTCGCTACGGGAAAGTGGCATCTTAGGGCCCCAACAATCCAAAAAGCAGAAACAGAAAAATGCAAAATCCGGTGCGGGCGCCGCAAACCGAATACAGCGCAATGCTGCGCTCCAGGGAATACGGGAACAGTTCAATCCCTTCGAGATCAGGGCTCCTGCAAGGCCTGCGAAATTCAGTTCTACTTCGCGATCGGACCAGGATGCACCACGGTCCAGACCAGGGGTTACAAAAAGCCTAGGAGAGCAGAGAGTGAGTTCTCTATTCCTGTCTATGTTTCTTGCTTGGCGATATTAGATGCTCATTATTATGTAGAGGAAAGAAACTCTCCTAAAGGAAATGCAACGCCGGAGTAAAGTCGGAATATTGCTCGATCGACGTTTTGGTGAAAATGACCCTACGATGACGCCCGAAGAACGAGCAGCGGAACGGTTTGCAAGAGAGAGCCAGAAGAAGCTCAAAAAGGAGTCGATGTTCAATCTTGAGGATGACGAAGAAGAGATGCAACTTACCCATTTGGGGCAAACTATCACGTTCGACAAGGAGAACAAGGATGACTTCGAAGAGGACGATCTGAATGCCTCGGATGAAGACGGCGAGTCAGAAAAAGCACGTAAGCGAAGGCGAAACGCTGAGGAGGATGATATGGAGGGATTAGCTGGGGACTCAGAGGAAGAGGGACAGCCGGAGCGGAAGAAATCAAAGAACGAAGTCATGAAGGAGCTTATTGCGAAGTCAAAATTTCACAAATATGAGCGCCAAAAGGCCAAAGAAGATGATGATGATTTGCGAGCGTCTCTCGACAAGGGCCTTCCTGAAATCTTTGAGATGATGAGAGGAGTCAAAAAGCCAGAACCTGAACCTTTGCCGAAACCCGATCTTACTGCTACGATGAATCCGGACCGTGCAGCTCTCTTGAATGGAAAGGATAGGGACGAGGCTGATAAGGAGTATGATCAACGGCTGAAACAAATGACCTACGACAAGCGAGCTAAACCGTTAGACCGTACCAAGACGGAAGAGGAAAAAGCAGAAGAGGAAGCAGAGAGATTAAGACAACTAGAAAAAGAACGGTTGAGAAGAATGCAAGGGGCGACGGTTGACTCGTCAGAGGAGGAAGATAACGGCGGTGACAAAGACATGGATGATGATTCGGAGCCAGACGATGCGAAGGCTTTTGGACTGGCTCAACCAAGTAACATGCCAGAGCTCGGTGTGGAGGATGAAGATGATTTCATTATCGACAGCGACCTTGTCGAGTCTGACTCTGAAGCAGAGCTCTCTCTAGATGAGAGCGATCTGGCTAGTTCTGCGGATGAAGAGGAGTCCGAGGAAGAAGATGATGAATTCATTGGCGGTTTGGTTCTCCCTCCTGACGCGGAAGCTGATAAGAGACCCGCCACCACGAATGGGGAGACTCCAACGGCGACGGCAAACAACAATCTTGCATTCACATATCCCTGCCCGGAAAACCATGAGCACTTTTTGCAAATCGTCGAGAATACTAAAATTGAAGATCTGCCCACTGTAGTCCAGAGAATTCGCGCTCTCCATCATCCCAGGCTCCACATTGACAATAAATCGAAGCTCGCGACTTTTTCGAAAGTGCTTGTACAGCATACTGTGTACCTAGCCAACCAGCCAGACCACCCACCGTTCGCTGTTCTCGAGAACCTGCTACGTCACATCCATTCGATGGCCAAGGCTCAACCAGAGGCAGTAGCCAGTGCAATGAGGAATCATCTACGAGAGATGTCTGAGAGTCGACCATTGGAATTGTTACCAGGGGATCTCGTTATTCTAACGGGAGTTGCAACCATATTCCCTACATCTGATCATTTCCATGCGGTTGTCACGCCATCCATGCTTGCTATGGCTAGATATCTCGGCCAGAGCAATATCGCCAACCTCGGAAATATCGCGACTGGCGCTTATATCGCAACCCTTTGCATTCAGTATCAGGCATTAGCAAAACGATATATACCAGAATTCATGAATTACGTTCTCAACGTCCTCTGCATTCTAGCGCCTAGCGAACCCGTGCATACTCTCGGCTTCTTCCCTATTCGGCAGGCATCTACACCCCTGTGTCTAACACCATCGAAATTCCCGTTAACCACCATCAAAAAACCTACCTTCTTGGACATTCTCGCCACCTCGCCCGCCGACGGAGCTGAACAAGAAGCCCTCAAGCTTTCCCTTATCAGCACATTTATCTCCCTTCTTGACCAGGCCGCTGACCTCTGGTCCTCCAAATCTGCATTCTACGACATTTTCGCTCCAGCAAACCGTGTCCTCAAATACCTCACCAAGTCACTCAACAATAAAACCCCCCGCACCCTCTATGACCAGCTGCAAAGGACCTGCGACAAGCTGCAAGCGCTCCTAAAGCAATCCGACCTCGGCCGCCGACCACTCCTGCTCCACAACCACCGTCCCCTAGCAATCAAGACGGCCATTCCTAAATTCGAAGAATCCTTCAACCCGTCCCGCCACTACGATCCTGACCGCGAACGCGCCGAGCTCAACAAATTGAAAGCAGAGCATAAGCGCGAGCGCAAGGGTGCCATGCGCGAGCTGCGCAAGGATGCGAACTTCATTGCGCGCGAGAGCCTGCGTGAGAAGCGCGAGAAGGATGCGGAGTATGAGCGCAAGTATCGTAGGCTTGTGGCGGAGATTCAGGGTGAGGAGGGAAGAGAGGCGAAGGCGTATGAGAGAGAGAAGAAGGCGAGGAAGGCGAGGAAGTAGATGGGGAATTTTTTCGTTCATTTTTACTTTTGATTACATCTATATACCTAACTATATATTTTCTTTCTTCAATGTACTGTTTTAGGGACTACGGTTGTGGATGCGGCTACGGCCATTTTAGAGTTCAAGGGGCGTATATAAAAATGAAACGGCGCGAGGTTTGTAATGTTTGAAACGTGATGAACTAAACAACATCTGTTATTCTTTTCCATAACTCCGTCGATCTTGGGTATCTATACACCAAATCAGATGCGACAGACATCTCTAAAACGGGCCCTAAATGTCGCAAAAAGCCAATGGAATAAGATGAAGCAGAAAAGAACCACAATTCTCCCGGCGCCACCGCAATCTAAAACAAGAAATGTAGATGAAACAAACCAAAGCTAATGAAACACACAAGAAGAGGTCACCCTCCAGGTATATGTCACATTTTAAGCTCCTCCGCCCCAACACGAAGCAGATACTCGCATCTCTCTATTTGCTTCTTATCGATAAGCCTTGTCTTCGTCTTGCGTGTTTTGACGTACAGTTGGTGCAGCGCTTTCCCAGTCTTCGCCGTCGTAACAGTTCCCCACACAGGGCTGCCCTTGACTCGATGTATATTTGGATCATAGCTGCGTATAAAACTTGTCCAGTACCCTTGCACAACGGGCACAATAGGCGCATTAACTCCTTTGCCCCTATATGAGCCGGGTCCGTAGGCGTACTTTGGGCCCCATATGGCCGCCATGTGAGCCGTGTGAGGGACTCCAATGCCGTTTTTCATAGCCGGAGGGTCCTCAACGTCATAGTGAAAATTCCATACTTTACTCGGATCGCCGTGCATGCTACCTGCAACGGTGAGGATGATAGCGGGGCAGTTGTATCGCATTTCGCCGTAGGCGTTGCTTCCCTGGCGCCAGTATGGGCCATATTTTCTTTTGGCTTCGGGAAACACGTCGTTGGTCTTTGGGTAAAGTTCATGGATCTTACGGAAGTGCTTTTTCTTCATGGCTGGGAATTGGTTTTTCAGGAAAGTGTCGGATTCTTTGAAGCTGCTTGTGTTTCTGGGGACGAAAACGGTACCTTCGTTATTGTCTGCGCCGAATATCATGGGGACTTTTTTGAATTGGCCTCTCGCGAAAAGCTTGTAGGTATAGTCCTGAATCAAATAGCCGTCGACGGTTGGACTGTACATGAACAGTGGTGGGCTAATGCCGCCAGGGAGCGGATAACGCTGGTCAAGTTTTTGCATTCTCTTCACATCAACCTTGCGGAGACAAGCAAGGGAATCTTTGCCTGTGCATTTCGTATTCTTGACGAGATTGTCATACATATACTGGCTTTCTCGGATATTAAGCTGTGTCCCAAATGAAGGGGAACCTGCCGCTGCCGCGTGGAAAGTGTTGACCCCTCTACCTCCGAAAGCACTGAGCAAATAGTATACAGAAGCCGCACCAGCACTATCCCCGCCGATTGTGACATGGCCAGGATCTCCACCAAACTGAAAATAAAATTAGTCTAAAAATTTTGAAGCTCGCCCAGAGGAAAAATAAAAATAAAAATAAAAATAAAAAAATAAACCAATATAAGCATAGAAGGGCAAAGGGGGGCCAAACCTGTTTAATATGTTTGTTAACCCATTCAAGAGCCTTCATTTGGTCTTTCAGGCCATTGTTAAGACTGGCCTTTTCCCTGATCTCCTTGCTTGCAAGGAATCCATAAAGCCCAACACGATAGTTGAAAGTCACAACGATAATATTCATGCCCGAGGCCTCTACGAGGCCGGTACCGTTGAGACGCGCACCGGCGTTAGCATTGAAGCCACCACCCTGAATATAAAAATAAACAGGGAGTTTAGAGTCCGATTTAGCGTTCGATGGACCATAAACATTGATAAAAAGGCAGTCTTCTGAAGTATGTTTCCGTGGCACGGATCTAGTTGCCAGGCAGCTATGGCCAAACTATGAAATGGTTGTTAGTTATTTCTCGTTCATTCATTCCCACCCACTTCAACCAGAGAAAGAATAGAGATGGAAGTTATCAAAGGCTTTACTTTATCTGCACGTTGTTTCTTTTTTTCTTTCACTGGATCCTCAGGTGCTGAGAATCGAAGATTCCCCAGCGGAGGTGCAGCATATCGCATTCCAAGCCATTGAGTGACCCCTCCAGGGTTTTCCACTCCCTTGTATTCGACATAACCTAAGTTAACCAATGGCTCCACGGCATGGGCCGATTGGAAAGTATTACTTAGGAATAATAGTAGACATATGAATGGCACGAGCGACGCCATGAAGCAAAAGCAGAAAATAAAAATGCTCCACCACGGAGGGCACCGAGAAAAATGTTTTTTAATCATGAAAAGAAAAGGATGAGGGATCTCCCTTCCGGAGACCCAACCCAGAGCTCCTGTGTCACTGGAACAGTAAATCGCTGACCTTCAGTCTGCAAGGAGTCGGTGAGATCGGCGATCCTTTGACTTATAAGAACCCATTACCGTCGCAGTTTCTGCGACAGAGTTCTTCTCCGAGGAAAAAAAATCATTCTCCCTTTGCTGTTGAACAAGCGCAGCCCGCCCCGCCTCGTGCCCCGTCGCAACTCGGACCTTGTGGGTGCATCATCATGATTCTTTCTGTTGTTCGTTTATAAGGTGCATGCATGGGTTGTGAGCTTGTTTAGCCTGTTTGGCTAGGCCTCAATAGTATTATTGAAAAAAGGTATCAAACCTCCTCGGGTTCATCGTAATAGACTTGTCATTCCCACTTTCTCCGTCGACGACAAGTTCAAGGGTGGTCAACCTACGAAGATCGCGATTTGCTCGGCGTTCCGATCATTTGAGGCCATGCGCCAAACCATGATACCAAGGTACAGTAGTACATAGCTGCTGTATGCGATAACCATGATGTGGTGCCCAAGTGTTCGAGGCTTCCTTCCCAAGCATGGGCGCCGAATCGGGTGATGAAGCCCAGGAAACACCCCCGAAAAAGCCTGGCCCGTTTAGTCGGGATACTAGCTCCTGCAGGAACATGGGATCAGCACAGCCGCCAATCTCACATCTCTTTGGTTGAGTTTAAACTAACGATCTAGGGGTGGCTGATCATTGGCGTCTCAAAATTGACGAACTCAAATTGTAACAGCAAGCTCGTCTCACGATACCCGTCTGTGCACAGCCCAGGCATGATTCCGCAGAGAGCTTGTCTGCATGTGGTCTGTATCCATTTGGTTATCACCGGGGTGCTTGGCCTTCATTTTATCCAAGAGACCACTCTTGAAAGAAGTGTTGACGCCTCCGCGTGTTCCCACACACACGTCTCGTGTCCGGGTGTTGGCGGACAAGAGCAGAGCATACATAAGTTACATCGTAACTAACCCAAGCAGCATGGAGTTGGTCTTTGTCACCAACCAGCCGAGCTAACGGCCTGGCATCTAACCTAAATTGGTATTTATGAAAGAGTTTCACCTTGCAGCAGTTGGCAAGCCAGGGTTAGTTAGCCGATGCCAGGGTCTGCCTGGCGATGGGGGTCGGATGGCTGGGATAAATATAGAATCCAGCGGGCAATGCCATCAATATGAAGGTAAACGATACGGACGACCTCGTGCTGAGACAACAAGTTGACGAACCGCGGTGCTGGCTGAAGATGAGAACAGAAGAACCTATGTATGTACGTACTTATTATCAGTAGTTAGTGCCATTAACTCAGTCAGTCTTTTTTAAGGAACATCCAGCGTACCTTCGGATGAGTAAGTTTTAACTGAAACACAATTGGATGAATCTTGAATCCCTGCTGAGCAGAAGCTGGATGACAAGATTGCTATGGGAGAGAGCATTGTAAGCCTTCCTATCACAAGAAGTGAAATGCATGTATTTGTTCATCACCAAGTGTGTAGTAGTTAGTTATAACTCTTTTAAATTTACATAAAATCTGAACTTGACACAGCACTCTGCAACAGGCAAACAGAACATCAACTCAAAGCAGATGTAATTGCACTGCACAATGAAATGATGTGTAAAGAAAGGTAAATAGAGCATCGTAGCAGTCTATAATGCATTTGAGTCAAAATGCTTCTCTCAGTGTGAAGTTTTAATTTCACATAATATTCAATTTATAGACACATCAATTCAAATTAGTCTAATGTTAATCACATTAGATAGATCTAGTTACATTGATTGTTCTTACACACATAGAGTGCTCATTATAGAGACCTCTAAGTATAATCTGCTATTACTGGAGATCTAGCTATCACTCAACTATAGAGATCTCTAGATATCTCTAAAACATAAGTTGAATAGCTAGACTATTACACTATAGCCTTCCATGAAAGAGCTTAATTATCAATAAAAGAGCTATGATTGATGTGTACTCCGTACTCACTGTAACACTAGCATGCAAATCTCTTTCGGCTCAAATGTTGTTATAGGCTGCTGTAGTAATCCTCAAGTATTCCCAATGTTTTTATATCATCTCTAGATTACCCCAACACTAAATTCTTTCATTGAGTCAGTGTTTTGTACAGTACTTCGTAGAGATTGACCCATGTGTTTGACACACATGTGAAATTGGGAATAGACGCTGTCTGTTTGCGAGTTATTAAATCTGTAAAACTCCATCTCTATATTTATAAATATATAGTACATCATAGATATCATCAATAGCTATCTCCTTTTCATGCAGCAAAGGGGTATGCGAGAATCTCCTTGACTCCCTCTCTGATTTCCCTAGTCAACCACCACAGTGATTCCTGTGCTCCGCAGATGGGATCTCCAGCCCAAATCATGCCCATTTGAACCACAAGAATCACAAATCATAATCAACTGAAAGTTTAGACGTGGGAGGTGGGCTAGGCTTAGCATGGGGTTATGTTTAGTTATACCTCTGGATCATATTGTCAAAGCAGTGAAAAAGGGTGAAGAGGGACTGATGGATTGTTTTATGCCGTTTCTCTTCCAATGAATATCCGTACCAAACAACCCAGCCGTTAGTAACTCCCTCCCAGGATAATCGTGTCACATCTGAAGACGACACTCTGGCTATGTCGACGATGTGTATTAGGTTGCTAAATTAATTAGGTTTTATTTATTGACCGTCTGGTTAGATAGAAAGGCGCGGAGCCTGTAGTAGCAAAGATCATGGGCACTAGGGTCCTTGCTGCAGACGAGGATTCTGACTCAGTTGAATGTCTCCGTGGCTTGTTTGCCAAAATGTACACGTATGGGCTATCTGCGACTTGAGTGCGAGATGTCTTCCATCCTGAACACGCAGATCATGAATGTGCCTTACGTCTGAGTTCATCAGCAAGCCGCTCAATATAGAACCTAGCCATATCACGAGGAAGACCATCGAACGACCGTGCGATTTTGTCCACCTCCACCCGGCCCCTCTCATACGCCTGGAGATCTCTATTTCCGTACACGTCTCGACCCGCCGCGTATCCTTTGTTAATGTTCCGGAAAAATACATTGACAGCTACACTCACTCCATTGGTTGGATTGGCGGTATGGAGCCAAAGCGGTGGAATAAAGAGAATATCCCCTGGCTTGAGGCGGGCTTCATGAGGATGGGTATCTGGTGGAGACTTAGGGGAAGTATCTGATATGTTTTGGAAGAGATTGATTGAAGAACTGGACGCTCCAGGTGCAAAACCTAGACGTAGCGCGTCCGATGGTGGATATAGAATAAGTCTTTTGTCTCCCTGTACTTGGCAGAGAATATTTGCCATGACCTGGACCAAAAAGAATTTAGTGTGTAGACCTCGACAGGCTGGACTGGGGGAACTCACATCATAATGGAGCCATAAAATAACTGGCCCGGATAACCTCAGAGGAGAGCTGTGCGCATTCTCGGAAACTAAAACAAGTTCTGGAGGGAGATGGAAATCACCTTGAAGGCCAGGAAAATCCTGGGCTAGGTTTGTAGGTCGCTCTGACGGGTTTATGGAAGAGATTGCGCGGAGGTATTGCCGGGAGCCATCGTAAATTTCGTCTATGAATGTCCCAAATTCTTTTGTAACGTATGAGAAATTCTTAATCTGGAAATTCATATTTTCAGACGATGCTTCGTGCACCACCACCTAAGCAAAATTTTTAGTACTTCATTATCCATTTAGCAAAAGGGGCAGCTCTACCTTGCGATCGCGCCCTATAGCCTTCTCAAGGTATTCCTTCGTCCAAGATTTCGTACATGAGCCAATATCAAGGCCGCTAAGAATGACGGGCTTCGCATTCTCAACAATTATCTGAAACTCTCGAGCCGTCGAAATGCTGATGCGGGGAATTATCTCCAACTCAGAAGCGTGTCCATTAGGCTGGCTATGCATCGCTTTAGACACCTCGTCTGGCGTGCTAGCTTCCTCTCCATTAGTTGACGGTTCGCAGAGACTCCACCGGTTGGTTGCGTTAGGTCCTGCTCTTTGCAATAGCCAAGTGTATTCGTTCCAATAGATCCCAAACGAGAAACAAAGAGCGCCGCCGCCAACAATAAGTACATCGTCATCACCAACTTTGCAAGAGGAGTGGCCAACAAAGAGTGGTCTAGGTCCGTTGCATTCAACCCCCGACCCACTCGCTGCCAACAGAGGGGTCTTGGGACTGAGATCCAGGGTGTTCAGCGAATTTATATCAAGAAACATTATTTCATAGTCCTGGGGGGTACAGCAGTGGCTGGTTATGCCTCCAATTATAAAGCAACCCCTTGATGTTGTAGTTATTGATGCTCCAAACCGCCCTAGCCATTTATATAGATGGTTTGAAGCACGCATGCTCTCCGTGATATCATCTAGCTCGACGTGTATCCGCCCATCATTGGATTTCACCAGTTTCCATATCCAGAAATCATCCAATATGACACCATATCGTGATATGCCTCCAAACAACACACCCGACTGTCCATCGATATTTGCAGTCGATGCCCCAAATCTGGCCGGGGGAGACTGATTGGCAATGTTGACCTCCTGCCAACCTTTGGACACATTCCATAGAAGCCAGGTACTCAAAACATCACCGTTGCCGGTCTTACCACCGCAAATGAGTACATAAGGATCGTCCGCTCCAAAATTCACCGTAGTTGCACAGTGCCTATAAATCGGAATTGGAAGGCTATCAGTTCGACGCCATTGCGCAGAAGACCTTAGCCAACAATCAGCCATAGCCTTGCTCGGAGCAGCTCTGCCTCCTACAAGCAGGCAGTCTTGTCCATCAAATTGAGTTATAGTGTGGCACATCCTAGCCTCCACGTCAAGTGGTGGCATTTCACCAGGCGCTGTGTTAGTTTTAGATATCGCGTATTCATCAGTCGAGGACAGTCGAGTATGTTTACCTAGGCCACCGTGTAATCCGAAGGTATGAGCGGTTGTAGGGACTACCGCGCCGAATCGCCGTTTGCTGGTCTGCTTTGGAGAACACAAACGAGTCAGTGCCAAAGGTTTTGGCTTTGTCTGAGATTCTCCCGCCTCGCGTGGGGGAATAGATTTGGTCTCCGTCCTACGAGTGGTAGAAAAGAGCAGAAAATGGTGCGACGCGAAGAGGGCGAACTCTTCCCACTCGTCAAATGCCTCTACTGCATCGAGTGATAGCCTGTCATCATCGCTGAGGCATGCAGGGTCGTTCCAGAATTCCCATAAATTCGTTGCTTTCGCGTTTGCCCAACCGGAGTCACGAAAACGTTGTTCCTGCTGCGTGAGAGAGGGATACTGATGGATTGAATGTAACGGGCATTGGAGTTTTATAAAATCTTTCATCATTGTAGCTGCAAATGGATGGTCTGGCCCCTCTGGGAAGTACTGCTCCAGCAAACAGAAATTTACATCTTTCTAGCTGTTAGTCGCACCGGGCACTTTTGATGGCTACGATTAGAGATGTCCTTACCCTTACTTAGCTTCGGCATGAACCGAATGAGGGCGTCCGCTAGTTTGACTTCCATATAAGTTATTGACACTTCGGCTATGCAAAGGATCGAGGCTTTATCTAAGCCTACCACATCCTTTAATGCGGCCTCTAGCTTTTGAAGATCCCCGAGATCGCACCCAATACCAACATACTCTTTGCTTCGCATTAGAACACTGCCGGTTTCTGCCGTCAATTGTACATCCGAAAGAAGGCCCCTTAATGCAGCGCATTGGGTTACGATGTCCCGTTTTTTAAGCATCAATTTGTGGTGGTCAATATCAACAAATATCGCATTTTGGCATAGAGCAGCGTCTCGGCTCAGGAACTGGAAGGGCAGTGGATCGCTTCATATAAACCCAACCTCATATTAGCATATAAGTATCAACTTCGAGAGTATTCTGCAATCGCCTTTGTTTACTTACAAGCCACAACCCAGGTTCACTATCGCCTTCTGATGTTCTGAAGGTTCTTCGAGAAACCTCCGCACGGAGGTCTCCACAGCACGCATGCGCAGCCAGTAGCCGCGATTAACCAATGGTGACCGTCTCAAGGGCTTCTTCACAAAATGGCGGAAAAAATGAGGTTCAGGGTAGTAGAGGCGCTCGACGCTGCGTTTAGAAACTGTGCTGGCACTATTGGTCTAATTATCCAGTGTAAGCACGGTTTTGCCAGATAATTCAGTTGCAAAAATATGCCAACCACGTAAATGCACGGCTTACCTCCATCACGAGCGTCGCATCCCTCTCCGCCTTCGTAATTTTTGGTGCCATGGTGTCAAAGAGTAGCCCTCCTGGAAGTACCAGCGACTTCTCCCTTCCAATGTTGCTCTCATTTAGATATGTACAGCCAGCCCTTTGGGGACGCCCCCGCTGATACGATACCAAGGTATATACCGTTATACCGTATCATGGGGAATTACCCTGTAAGGTTTAGCGTCGAGCCTATCATCAGGTCCCAACCCGATTGGACTAAACTAAAATAGGACTAATGTAGATCTAGCGCCTGATGTGGCGATGCCGAGGTTGGTGTCACTGCCGTGTTTGTCTTGTTTGCTTCACCTCGCTCTAACCTAACCATCGCCAGCTCCTGCTAAACCAACCATCAAACGAACGAGCTAGACAGCCCCCGCCCGCTTCTCTCTCTCTCACTTCATTCTCTACGCATTTGTTGGCGTCGCTTCCCGCTGCTATTTGCCCTTTCATTGCACCTTGTGGGGTTTTTCGATTCCGAACCGGGTCTGGGTCTGCCTATGGCATGCGGATGCCGTAGTTCTTCCGACTGTCAACCCAACGGAGGTCAATGACAGTGACAGACATTTTACGAAGAAACATAAATTTCATCGCGCGGCGTCAGCTTTTGTATGGCCTGGGGGATAACGTGTACATTCTCTTTAGCGCGATAGCAACGCTACCTTGCTCTTCAACATGGCGATGAATTTCGTCACCTTCAATCAGGACTACAGCTATTTAGCTGTCGGTGTGTAATTCTCTATCGAAGCACTACACTTGACTAAGTTACTCATTTCTGATGGTGCCTGGTTTTGCATACCTGCAGGTACCTCGAAAGGTTTCCGCATATTTACCACGGATCCTTTCGCAAAGAGTTACGAAACGAAAGAAGGGAATATCGCGATTATAGAAATGCTTTTTTCAACCTCCCTTGTCGCCCTCATCCTTTCCCCGCGACGGTTACTAATCACAAACACCAAGGTCGGTAATTGCCGTATTCCTTGCCCTTCCATCTATATCATTGTAGGTCATATAAATTCAGATATTAACTAATGGATCAGAGGCAATCTACAATATGCGAGTTGACCTTTCCTACCACTGTCCTTGCTGTCCGTTTGAACCGGAAACGATTAGTTATTGTGCTGGAAGACCAGATCTACCTATACGATATCCAAACAATGAAACTTTTGTACACAATTGAGACATCGCCAAATCCGAGCGGTGCGTAATGAATATGACATCCGAATCCCTCTTGCCAGAGTCGGAGTAGAATTGGTCACTAACTATTGGTCCTAGCAATTTGTGCACTCTCCCCTTCATCGGAAAACTGCTATCTTGCCTATCCTCTTCCGCAAAAGGCTCCTCCCTCTTCCTTCACACCACCTTCGCACGCTCCACCCGGTAGTACCCACATCTCCCCCACCAGCGGCGAAGTTCTTATTTTCGACACGCTAAAGCTTGAAGCTATTAATGTTGTTGAGGCTCATAAGTCTCCGTTATCGTGCCTCGCAATGAATACGGAAGGCACTCTGTTGGCTACAGCTTCCGACAAGGGAACAATTATCCGGGTGTTTTCCGTTCCTGACGCGCAAAAGCTATATCAGTTCCGAAGGGGCTCGATGCCTTCTCGGATTTTTAGCATGTCGTTCAATATAACATCCACACTTCTCTGCGTTTCTTCAGCAACCGAAACTATTCATATTTTCAAACTCCACCAGGGTACTTCAGAAGATTTTCCTCCTTCTCCTATCGGCGTTGGTTCCCGGAGCCCAACTAGCCGGCAAAGAGGATTCAGCCAGAGTTCGAGTGCGTTTTCAGGTGGGGACGATTCACCTACGGATCATGATCCTAGCGACATCACCGCTCGAAAGCATAATGGTACATTTATGGGCATGATACGTCGGACATCACAAAGCGTAGGCAATTCGTTCGCGGCGACTGTTGGTGGTTATTTGCCAAAGGGGGTGACGGAGATGTGGGAACCGGCACGGGATTTTGCGTGGATTAAACTTCCCAAGACAGCAGGGCAAGGTGCCCCGGGTTCGAACGCTGGTCCCGTGCGAAGCGTAGTGGCGATGAGCAGCAATACGCCCCAGGTTATGGTTGTTACTAGTGATGGTAATTTTTATGTGTACAACGTTGATTTGTCGAAAGGTGGAGAGGGTACGCTGACCAAACAGTACTCGTAAGTTTTCTTCTCGGTTCAGTATAGAGACGTTAGGGGGGTTAAGCATCAACTAACAACTGCGTGCTCTTCTTTTCGCTGTGCAGGGTACTCGACTCCAGCGACAAACTCAGTTCCGCTGGAATGGATTATTTTTAACAACATGAAGTCTTTTGCTCTGGCATATTTGAGTACTTTCTCAAACACGGTGTACCTTGACACCAACTTAGTATGAGAAGGACTTATTAAGACAAACAAGACAAACAAGACAAACATAACACATACCATACCTTTCCATCCTAGACGCCGTGGTGATACAAGGTGTCCGAAGAAAGTGGTGAAATATGCTAGAGCAAAAGACTTCATGATGCTCAAAACAATCCATATTACCTATATCTATATGACTCTTATGAATTATTAGCGTGTATACGTGGACTGGTTTCGCCATGCACGATTAACCTTGCAGTTTCACAGCCGGATACGCCACCAGGTGACCAGTGAGAGCTTGAGGAGTTTGCTTTTCATCCATCAGCAGTTCGGGCATATCTGACAAGATATATAAATGTTGAACTGAGGGAGCTTAGGGATTCAGAACAGGCAGCGTACAAGCTGGAGTTTATCAATGTTGGTTCATGTATCTGTCTTGGCTCTGTTTCAACTATTTACCCAAAGCTCTGCATTTTATTTTATTTTATTTATTTTTTTAATCTTCATTTTTTAATTTCCTTTAGCCCTGTCTACATCTTTGATACCGGGGGTTTTGCTTTGTGTCTTTTCCTCTCCCATTCCCAATGCCATCATGCTCCCATCCCTCCGCCACCTCCGTTTGTCTTGTCTATTTCTGCTTCTCTACACATTATTCCAGTCAGGTCTACTCTTTTTTTTTTTTTTTTTTTTTTTCCAAGGATCAAAATTGGGCGAAGAGATAGCATATATTATCAGAACATCTCCATCTCTTACCGTCTGTATATATCCTTCATATATTTACAGTACCATAAAGATATCAGTAATGGCCCGGGTATGCCATCCTAATATATATCATTAGCCTCTCCCTGTCGTTCATCAGTCGTCTCTTTTTACTTTCCCCCTCCGTCAGCATGACATGGGCTTCTCATGGATCTTGATAGGAGAAACAATACCTTTGTTGTCACTGTGTATGACACCGTAGATTGTAACCTCCTTTTTGATTTCACTCGGATTTGTAGAATTGTTCGGAGTAAGGATTGAAAACGCAAAACAAAACAACGTTCGTGCGAGAGAGAAGAGAAACAAGAGAGCAACTCGGATAGGATTGTCGATCATAGCCCAAAGGAGGACTGGCGCAGTGCTGCTTGAAAACTTTGAATGGGCCTTGGCATTCGGCTTTTTATCAAGCAGGAACATCGCATCATCTATCATCTTTGCACCTCGCCCAGCAGCGGGAAGTTTGGCTTTGTGGATTCCATGCGTCGTCAGGGGTCTCCCTGTTCTTCAAGGTATGTACGGAGTACAAACCGTCCATGTATGCTAAGCGTCTTCATGAGTGCTTTTCACACCGACTGGGAGTTGTAGCTGACCATATGACAGTTTCCCCACCTTCACGTTTGTCTGTACTAGGTTCGATGCGACCCCTCTTCCTGCCTCTATCATCCTTGAATCATGTGGAGCAGAAACACATGTTCGGGAAGCTGCCATATGGCACGGTGTAGGAGCTGGATTGGGAGGAGTTGGAGGGGGCTGCTAAATATAAAGCTCAGGGCCAAGTTTATTGGCTCCCGAGTAATTGATTGTGCAACCGACGACGGTGAACGCCGAAACATGACTCGATTCAAGACCGCTCCTAGGGCCGATAAGTGTTTGTATGTCAGCGTTGTAAGCTAAGGTCGGCTCTTGTCTTAGACCAGCGCCCTTGGGTTTCGGTCTCGGAGAGTGCAGAATGTAGAGGAAGACTATCATTGATGATACCACATCAACAACTCGATTCATGAGCTTAATCTCTACATCTCTACTAGTGCAACCCTTCTTTTTTTTTCTTTTTTAAACGAAAGGCTGTGTTTATATCCAGCCTTTTTATGCGAAAACTGTCGACTCCAGCGCAGCTCCACCAATCGTGACACACCCTACATGTCTTTTTGACATACATAAAGCACAGTTTAATTCGGCGGACGTCCAAGCTGCACCCTTGAAGAAAGCTCCATTGGAAGGAGAGATGGAATTTCTTTCCGGGCTGGGACCAGCCTGTTAAACTGAAAATACCTAGCTAGGTGACCGGCTCGCAAACGCATCAGCCAGGACGTCATTTATGTGAACACTGACAGCAACAACCCAGAACGCAGAGAGTGCCAGGCGGAGAACTTATATGACGATGCGTATTTACGCGGCGGAAGAAGGGGGAATTTATTGCTCCTCAGGAGGCGATTGTGGTTGCGATCTCTGTGATGACCAGTTTGATCTGCAATGGTAATCAAACCGCCCTACCCCGATTTTTTCTTTCTATGCGTATTAGAATATTTTATTATTTTCAGCCTCATCATCAGGACCAGCCCCTCGGGCTATTACAATCTCTCTGGTTGCCCCCACTCGATTATCTTGCCGGAGTTAGTGGCGCAGCAAGGCGTCCTTGAAGCGGTTGCACACCACACGGGCCATAATATTCATTTCAGCTGACCGCTCATGAGCAGCCTGCCGGCGACCTGAATAAAATGTATGTATGTAATGTACATTACGGAATCTCTTGGCGTGCCTTGCAGACCGGCAGTTACCCCATCTCCAAAATTAGCCGGCGATCCGTTGCAGTAGGGCCCTCCCAACCGCTTGGAACGTTTGGTCATGTTTCACTCCATCTCTAAAGAACACCTGAGCCCAAAGAGACACTAAATTCAGAAACCAAGGAACGGACATTGCATTTCACAGGGATGCTGCTTATTTCTATACGACATAAATTAACGGGGTGTATGATGCTCTATTGCATAGCAGTCCTATTCGTGCACATGTATCCAATCAAAGCGCAAAGAGGTGTTATCAAAACACGCTTTTGAACTAAATGTCAACCATATGTGCAGGAAAGGGCATCGGGCATCGCGGATTTGGTTGAGAGGAGGTAAGAGAGAGGCCAATAATCACTTTGAGGAACCGGACGCTATGGCAAATCGTAGCGAGAAAATGAAAAGGAAAACCTGGCGGGAAGACTTTTAGAGAAAATAGGGGGCAATTCACATGGCAACAGGGAATGCAAGCGACAATTCTGAAAGTGAGCAACATGCTTGCTCCTCAATAGCATCATTCGTCGTCAAAGGGGCCAAGCCAACCTGCTGTCGGGTCCATGACATCCCCTCACGCCCTTCTGGAATCTGAGAAATAGAAGAATGTTCCAAAAGCCCCGAGACCTCTTCGATGAGCTCTCTCCCAGCCAGCCCCACCCACCATGACATGTAGTCCTTGCTAGCTCTATCCATTAGGACACCCAGATACATAAGCATGAATAAAGCCATTGGCTCCCGTTTCTTGATTGCCGTTAAAAATTCCCGGCCACCTATGCCGATCATTGACAAAAAGTACCCCTTGACGCGCCCGCAGGCGTCTTCCCTGAAGGAATATTTAAGCTGGGCGAGGGTAAGCAAATATTCCTCGCTAGCCAGCGATGTTTCATCCCCGGCGTAAATGGCCATGGGGCTTGAGGCGGGAACGCGGATCTGGCGGGCGACGGTGGAGAGTTTCTCCAATGCAGCGATGGTGTCTGAGTCCAGGATATCCAGAGATAATGGCATGTACTTGAGTATGTCGCGGGACGAGCATGGGGCGTCTGTTAACCACTTAATGTTAAACATTGCGATGCTGAAGGCGCCAAGCATCAGGTTGAAGAAGATCTCTACACGCTCTAGGATGGTCTGGTGCCTGTTTGGCAGGACGAATTGCATGATGGCTGACAGCGCTGCGAGGTGATAGAGCAAGTGGAGATTGTCCTGGTTGATATTTTCGAGCTGGGAGCGGAAGCCGGCGCTGGCTTTGTTGCTGTACTCCAGGGCTGCGCAGAGGTAGGTGGCAGACTCAGATTCGTTGGAGGATAGAGCAAGGTCAACTGCGGCTGCGGCGAGAAGGCTATTCATGACGTAACCTTCTTTCAAGGCTGCGCGGGGGAGTATTATTTGCATGTATGGTTCATCTGCGGGGATGCTGTATAATCCCATCCAGGTCCTCGTTGTCCATCTATGCAAGAGCTCCAGTTCCAACAATCTGTTAGATTCAATTGTACTGGAAAAAGTCACAGGGGAGGAAGACGGGTGGATGGCCAGTGAGGAGTTTGAGGCCGTCCTCGAAGACAGTCCTGACGGTAAGTCTGACCTTTCCTCAGGAGACTGTTGCCGGGAATTGCTTGAATCGTTTTTGGAGAGCGTTGCTAGCGCAATTGTTGTCCTCTTCTTTCTGGTGACTTTTGGCTTAGTCGCGGGCAACTGATACACGCAGTCACTCTTCCGCACAACACAGTTCGCGCAAGGAGGCCCTTGCTCATCACACTGTTCAGACCATACGTGATTAGCTATTCTTTATACAAACTCCGTAAGATTGCACTATATAAATAGCAGGGAAGTAGTCTCGATGCGAAGGCAATAATCATACAAACCTTTACATGCCTCTTCTTGCAATTCAGGCACCCTCTGCGCGACTTGTTGTGAGATACTCTTCTCTGCATGGTAACTTGCGGGGACTAACTAGTTTCAGGCGTATTTCGTGGATAAGAAATTATTGATACGGCACCACCCTGCGCCGGTAGAAACGAAGCTCTCCGGCATTTATACTGAAGAAACGTAGAGTTCTTCAAGAGCGCCTCTTCGCCACAGGCAGGGGGGATGTTACAGGGCTGGGTTTAGCTCAGAAGCCAAGAACCAGCGGTGGTGAAAACCACCCGTCCTCCAAGCTAAGAATCAAGCATAAATGGCGTCGGCGGCTGTTGGCATTTATTCAGCCTCAACCCAACCCAGCGCAAAGGCAGGGCAGATTTGAGCCGGTGTACCCGCCGAACGCAATTCAACTGGATAACCCTTCGGCGTTCTTGTCAAATGGTTCAGGATCAGCCCCCAAGTGAAGAGATGCAACAATGTTAATATGCATGCATGCAATGAAACAACAGCCACATCAAATGTTGACTACAGAGTGGATGGTACAGATGATATCAACACGTACATAAGGATATATCATTGTTACATATACAGAGTAGACTAGAACTAGAACTAGACGATTGCCATGAAGTCTAAATTTCCTCATTGGGTAATAATGTAGAGTTAGCGACGGAGGACTCTGCGCCGGGGTTATTTGCCCTGATGACCAAGCGTACTTAGTCATTCCGCTTTCAATGCGGCAAATTAGGGTTTGTCCAAATCAGAAATAGCGTCGACGGGCCAGGCCTATAACTACGAAATACGCCACATATCCCACAGCATTCAGACTCGGGCGGGCAATGTCTGTAGAATGTGATAGGTTGAATCCGGCCCGAGAGCCGGTTGGGATCCCCAGACGATATGGTGCTCTACCGCACTTTCAACACAGCATGGCATTTCCGAGACATTTGCATCCGTCGCATGGAGTTTGATGCCTGGAAAGAACTTATTGATACCATTAACTCTGCTCAACAGGCTATGTGCCAGACAATTGGTGCTTATCCTGGAGGCTTATTGGTGCTGGAAAAAGATGCTACATAACAAAAATGTGGTTCCCGATGTCACAATGTGGAGCTTTCTGTGCCGGAAGGCGAAGAGCTAAAAGCTACGACCTCCCTCCCCACATTGGCTGCGGTGTGGTTTGGTGGACCTTGGTTAACTAACAGGTTGGCAGGATGATTAATAATGGCTATGACTAGCTTGACGTTGAGGTCATGTCATGTACAGTACAGTACAGAGGTTAAACGAGTTTTTATATATAAGGAATCTCTCCGCGTTCTGCTCTACGCTCAATTGCTTGAGCCAAGGGTAACTAGTCTTCGGCTTTTGCTCTGCTCTTTCCCCCTTTTATACTATCTTTTCAGGGAATTCCTTCCTGGGTATACAGTCGCGGGATTGCATCTGGAATGACCTTACGGTTCGCTGAGCGCTCCAATGGAAGCTCAACCATGGCGATGGAGCTGGAGACCGTTGAATTACCTTGCGCGGCTGCGGATACAAAGTGCAACAGTGCATCACATATTTCAGCGCATAATACATTCGAAAGCACAACTCCTTCAATAACGACCAGCTCCGCCGAGCGTTGGAACTATCCAAAGCGCAACTTTTTCCGTTTCATAGCGACCAATTACAGCTTTGTCATATTGGGAATCAATGATGCAGCCTACGGTGTAAGTAATAAGACTATATACGAAACCATATATGACATCGTGAGAAAAGAAGCTAAATTTTAAACCAAAAACAGGCCCTTATACCATATGTAAGATTGTGAACCATAATGCACTAGTGCAGCCGGTAAAAGGAAACCAGACTTACCCCCTATTTTTTCCTCTAGCTGGAAACTTATTACGACGTTTCCTACACGGTCATATCGCTGGTCTTTTTATCCCCTCTGGCGGGATACATCACATCGGCCATACTGAACAATATGTTGCACATGCGATTTGGGCAGCGCGGCCCTGCTCTCCTGGGGCCTGCCACCCACGTCATTGCCTATGTCATCGTCTGCCTTCACCCTCCATATCCGGTCCTGGTCATTGCCTTTATCATTGCCGGCTTCGCAAACGGCCTAGCAGACGCTGCATGGAACGCATGGGTGGGCGGAATGGCAAATGCCAACGAACTTCTAGGACTGTTGCACGGATCATATGGCCTAGGAGCACTACTAGCTCCGACAATTGCTACGTCTCTTATCACAAAGGCAGGCTGGCAGTGGTATGAGTTCTATTACCTTGTCGCTGGGAGCGCCTTCTTGGAACTGGTTTTTCTAGGGGCTTCGTTCTGGAATGCGACAGCGGCGCAGTACCGCGAGACACACCAGCGTAACGATAACGTGAGCCACAGCGCCATGATACCCTCTGATGAAGAACAACAGCAGCACGTCAGCAAACGAGATATTATCCTCAGCAAGATCTTCGGCAACAGCCGCACAGCCGAAGCTGCAAAGAACAAAATAACTTGGATATGTGCATTCTTCCTGATCGCGTACGTTGGAATTGAGGTTGCTCTAGGCGGATGGATCGTCACCTTTATGATCCGCGTTCGCCACGCCTCAAATTTTGCTTCCGGCATGGCGTCGACGGGATTCTGGGCTGGTATCACTGTTGGCCGTGTGGTTCTAGGCTTCGTAACCCCCAGACTATTTAAAAGTGAAAAGCATGCCGTGACGGTATATCTGGGAGCCACTGTGGTTCTCGAGCTGCTCTTTTGGCTCATCCCCCAATTCGTCGTTTCTGCAGTCATGGCCGCTTTTCTTGGGTTCTTTCTAGGCCCCTTGTTCCCGGCAGCGGTTATAGCTGCGACAAAGTTGCTCCCGAAACATTTACATGTCAGTGCTATCGGATTCGCTGCCGCTCTCGGTGCATCTGGCGCTACAATCTTGCCCTTCGCGGTCGGTGCCATTGCTCAGGTCAAAGGGGTGCAAGTCCTGCAGCCGATTGTGCTAGCCATGCTTGTTGTTGATGCTGGAATTTGGCTGTGCCTACCCAGCTTATCAAAGAAAAATCAGTGAATTCATTTTGATCGCAAGCTTTCATATAATCACGGTTAGGGTTCAACATAAGCCATTGAGCTTTACATCCGAGATTTCCCTCTTTTCTCTCATGTTACCTGTTCTGTTATCTTTTGGTTTTCACTTTTTAAAAATGGGTGATGGGATTGATGACAGGAATACGATAATGAAACTCGGAAGGAAACCTGCGAAAATTGATTCTCAATAATGGAAAATATACTAACTAATGCTTTGTGATTTGGCCGTCTCCTATTTTTGCTGGCTTTTGTTGATTTTCACAATTTTGGGGTTTGTGCGTATAAATGCAACGGATACATAACAAATTTTGGATGATGAAATCTAAGAGTCTCTATTCACATATTTTTATTCTCCTTTTGATTTTTATGATTTTTGTTTTGAAATGGGGCCTACATACCATAGATATCTTGCCCTCATGTGTTTGTCCCCCTGACAGGCGATAAATATTTCATTGAGATATTCTTGGCGCAGAACATATATTTTTCCTCCTTGATAAAGTTCGATGGAAACCAAACTTCGCCGTACGAGTGTAATTTTTGAGAAACATAACATTTTACTCGTTTTCGTTATCTCCCGTTTGTTAGTATAAATTTTCCGGTGCAGAACGGCTGCCATGATCATACGTGTATAAAAAACGTTGAAACAACTGTCCCACCTGGCCAAATGGTATCCCCCAGCGGAACACCTCCAGATGAGGATATAGTCCAGATAAATGCCACTATGAACGATAATGACGACGTCAATGAGAACGCTATGAACATTCAAAAAGAAGATATTCCCACCTCTTACCCCCCAGCAACCAAGCTTGCTAAATCCTCGTCTCGCCCGCCTAAACCAAAGAATATCTCCAACCCTCTACAAACTGGAATACTCACCTATCTCAAGAACCACCGGCACCAACTCAATATACATACATCTCCTAATCCCGTTTCACTATCAATCCCCCTGCCAAAGAGATTCACAATTTACCCACCTCTCCTTTTACTACCATCAAACACATTCTCCTCGCCACCCGAGTGGGCGGCGCTCTACAGTACTCTATCCAACATACAGCGCCAGGAACTTTATGCATGCATAGCTGCATCCTTTGCATCCAAGGGCATCACGCACATCGCGATGAACGCGCCCATAGCTCCGACTATGACTACGACAGCCACTCCTAGCGTTGAGAATCGTATTCGGAGCCCGTCAGGGTTGGTGCCTTTGTATGGGGATTTTGGGGCGGGGAGTAATGATGGTGATGAGGATGTATGGGGAGAATGCGAAGACGCTGAAGAAAAAGAAGCCTATCCAACAGAGGCGGCGTTGCAGTCTGCGTTGTGGGTTCGTGCGGTGCAGAATCGTGGCATCGTGCAGATTTGGGCGCCGTTGCATTCCATGTTTAGTCGGGGGAATGTTGTGGAGAAGGCGAGGATTTTGGGGATTGAGTCCCAGTTTGCAGGGCTTGATGATGATGATGATGATGATGGACAGGGGGAGGTGGAGGGGAAGAGACTACTGGGTCAGCGAGTGGGGGATATTGCGGTTGTTGATATGTATGCTGGCATTGGCTACTTTGTGTTTTCGTACCTGAAGCGAGGGGTCGGGAGGGTATGGGGCTGGGAGATTAATGGGTGGTCGATTGAAGGGTTATGTAGGGGATGTAAAGATAATGGATGGGGGGTGAAGGTGGTCAAGGTCGATAAGCAAACGGGCGAGATAGAAGGGGGAATTGACGGGTTAGTTAGGGAGTTGAGAGAGGAAGATCGTATGGTAGTTTTCCATGGCGATAACAAGTTTGCAGCGGATGTGTTGAGGGCGCTGAAAGAGGCACTGCAGCAGAGGAAGATGTGGAAGCGCATCCGGCATGTTAACCTTGGGCTATTACCAACTTCTAAGCCGGCATGGGATGGGGCTGTGAGGGTTCTGGATATGGAGGCGGGAGGTTGGATACATGTTCACGAAAATGTGGATGTGAAGGATATCAGGATGATGGAAGAGGATATTGTTATAGAGATTAATTCTCTACTCCGATCATCTCGAGGTAGCGGACAGCTATCATCGTTCTCTCATTCTTCTATTCCAGCAGCGAAGTGTATCCATGTGGAAAGAGTTAAAACATATGCCCCAGGCGTGATGCATTGCGTTTTTGACGTTTATATACCACCTTCCCCTGGCTGGTTGGAATCGGGCAATAGATTAACCTGATGCGTAGTATATCTATTCAACATTATGAAATCTATAAACCTCCATTCCCTTCTTTTTGATGCTGAGTATATTCAACGAAAGAAAAAAAGAGATAACGTAAAATAACATACAATGCATGGGAATATAGTTTACAGAAAATCTCACTCAAACCCATATCACAAACGTGTGCATTCGTATCTTTCTAAACAAGACATTAATGCGTTTCAAGTATGGCGGCCCCGTAAATAACGGTGTCGCTAAAGCAAAAAAGACAAGAAAACCCAGAATATACAACAAATATAGTGGAAAATATAGGCGCTGAATGTCGACTATGCCGACGGGCTCTTAAGGAACTTGGCAGGAATGTTAGTTTCCACGATGACCATTTTTTGGAGATTGGCTAGTCGAATCTGAGCGTCCTCGGCATGGTCATGTTGCCGAAAGTGTTCAATGTCCTCGGGGTGCGTTAGGTCTTCCTCCGTTGCTCCGTCGCCGTGGTATTTCTCAAAATGGTGTATCTCATATTCGTATTCCAAGTCGCCATGATGTCCCGGTCCCGTGCCAAAGTCTGGCAGCCTCTTTCCCTCGCGAGACAGGCGCATCCATTCGTGCTGCGATATAACACCCGTTTTCTGGGGGTCGAAGATGCTGAATATCTCCTTGAGGATCTGCTGTTTGCGCTCTTCTGCCAGGTGGGCGTTCGACTTGTCGTCAAGTCCGTAAGTTCTGCGAACTTCGTCCACTGTCCAAACTCCTGAGTCGTCGTAGTCGTGAAGCATGAAAAACGAACCAGGGTCAAAGTTGGAGATGTGATGTTCCTCTAGATTTATTCCGCAATCAGCAACTAAGCTCCCTGCATTCCACAGCGATAGTTATATGATCCCGCTTACCTATCATGTGTCGTGTCGCCCAGTCTGTAACATCACCAGCATCGTCGTGAGATCCATGCGCGAGACATAACCTTGTCACTGCTAGGAATGCTAATAGAAACCGAATCATGTTGCAGATGTCAGAATCCCGTAGTGAGCACAAACCAAAGCCGCGTAGTTATAGCGACGTAGATTTCACGGTGTGTTGTGTCTCCTTATTCCATATGATAATGTTGTTAACAGCAAAGGTGTTGGCTGATACCACGTACTAGTATTCTCCGTACATATTTAACTGTACAAGCAGCGATTGCCACGATAGGAATGTTCCTCGTGTGTAAGAAGCGTTCTATTTTAGCTCTCAATCAAAAAGATAACTCACTATAGCATTTGTTGATTACTATATAAGCGAATCTGCATGTAAGTAAGGTAAATTTTCAAGCATATAACTAACATATAGAATAACCAGGTGAGTGTGTATGTATGTGTATGGTCCCTATGGTATTGCCGGTGTATTTGTCCTCAGCATGTCAAAGTATTTGCATTGTTTGCATCACCTATCCCACGAGCGCCAATGTCAACCGGAACTCAATCCGCCCACGATCCCGACATCACCGCATGTAAATACCAACTTTCTAACTATCTCACCTTACAGCGCGCAACGCGACTTTCAATGCCGCTCAATCGCCTTGCTCCTGCCAGCTATCTCTGATACTACGAAAGGCAACGACCTTTAAAGGTCTCCTGGATTCAATTCGGCGGAATCTCTACCCGGAGAACGACTCTCGAGTGACCCACCTTGCCCTCTAATTTCTCGCAAAAACCCCTCCTCTCCATTCCCGCCCTTCAATGATGCCGATATAGATATAATGCAAAGTCTCTGGTCTAGAACTGCCCTGTCGACTGGGTCATGTCGATGTGTCTCCTGTCTGCGCAGCGGCTCCAATGCTGTTGCTGGACAATCTGGCACTGCTGCCAGCCGGCGGAGGCTCTACATCGGCAACTCCGTCACACTGCTTTATTCCGCTATCTTTGCAACAGCCGTGATGTTCGACGCAGATGCGAAAACTAAACGACGGACTGAATTGGAAAAGAAAATTGAAGCTGTGAAAGAGGAGGTGGAGCAATTGCGCATCGAGGAACTTCGGATACTGAATGGGCTTGCTGTCCGGAGAAAAGTGCGGCAGCTTCCTCTTCCATTGCAACGAAGGCAATACAGCACAGTTGCTGCTACTGCGACAAAGAGCTCTGCGTCAATTGAAAAGTATCAAGGTGTAGGCTCCTTCCCAATTGAGCGCTCTGAATACCAGGAACCGCCCGCATTTAAAGACCGACCGGAAATGATCACAGACGTTTTTGAAAAGGGGTCAGCCAAGAAGAGAGATCCAACGGACGAAAATGAACGTTTTCAGAGACAGTATGATTTAGCTGGGCAAGATGTTCTTCGAGAAAGAGCGATTCAACTCCTTGCAATACGGCAACTTGCCATAAAATTGCTCCTTCGACCCAGCATCGCTCATTCATACGGCGAAGTGGTTGCAGATTATGGGGAAGAGTTTGACCACCCTAAATTTAAAACCCAAGACTATCTTATCGAATTGCACGCGCTAAAAAGGCGGATCACTCGCCTGAGGTTTCGGAGGGACGAATCATACGATGATCTGGTGAAAAATATAACGATTCAAGAGCAGTCAGCCCTTCAACAAGAACGCCAGGAATTACACAATAATCTCCAAGCCGCCTTTGAATCATATAATCGAAAAAATATTTCCCTCCAGAGGTTACTTTTAATAGCCTCTGAGAATTTACTGGCATCGGAGGAACCGATTTTGGCGCAGACTGTTGAACTGATGATTACGCAATTTACACGATCTAAACATAACGATCTTGTAAAGATGGTTATCGACTCCCTATTTCCTAACAGGATCAGGATGACTCCTCCTGTCATTGTTTCCGCTATAAACTTTTTCAACAAAACCAAGGATCTCTTCGGTTTCGACGGCCTCCTACGCTTACTCCAGGGGAACAGTTTTCCTGTGAATATACCCGTGTTATGGGAAACAGTCAGTGTTGGAGACGTTCAAGTTGCCGTTCCACCAAAGCCTCGTCACCCATTTGTGATGAGTGCTCTCATCTCTGCTAGTCTTAGTTTCAACCAGCCCCAAAACGCTGACGCCTACCTCCATATCCTTCGAGAATCTGGCTACAATGAAGGAGCTCAGGTCTTGGGTTCTTACCTTCGATTTTACACGGTATCACCGAACTGGCGAAAGGGTGGCTACATTCTGTTACGATCCGTCGCTTTCATTATGTCTACAAAAGCTCATTTTGGAAACGCCATTAACCGATTAATCCTCTACATGGTGGCCTTCTGCAACTCGTGCGGAAAGAATGAACTCTCTGAAGCTATCGTCAAAGCTGCTGTGGAGACTGGAATAGATTGGAGACCAAGTTACAACAAGAGAGATCTTCGGAGCTCAGTTAAAGCGGCTCTAAAACAGTGGAGCACGGCTGCCGAGCACGCTTCCACAGATATTCCCGCCAGTAGGCCTTTGGGGCAGCGATGCTACGATTTCGCAAAACAAATAGAGCAAAGTATACGAGTGACGATCGAGTACAGTGAACAAACGCCGTCGAATAATCTCCAACAATCTCGGGAACGGGTCGAAAGGAGTTTCGATGTGCGGCATGCGGGCCAGATTTCTGAATCGCAGGATCGTGACCCAACATCTGGTAGTAGACCTTATCCTGCGAACGATGAGTTGCGATCGACCAAGCCGAAAGAAGCAGGGGATTTGGCTCGAAGTTCACGCCGTAAGGCCGAACATCCCCAGGCCCAGAATAGCCAGCCCGATGAGGGACCAGCTGAAAAGAACATAGTAAGATTCTTTCTGAGGAAACCGGAAGAAGAACGTGTAAAAGCTCCACAATCTACCGAAGAGATGAGAAGAAGACGTTTCCAGGAGGACTACCGGTCATTGTTCCATTCGCTGGGAGTCTCTAAAAGGACCATTCTTGACTTCCAGCGGGAGCTAAATGAGCACGAGCTTCGGGTTCATGCTTCTGAATTACCAGCTGCAGAATCCAAAACAGGATTGCTCCCGGAGGAAGCTTGCGGTTCACTATTCTATTCGCTCGCGCTTTCTCAGAAAATTATTGGAGACTTGCAGCGCGAAGTGGACGAATCTGGCCTTCACATTCACACTTCAGGGGCGCCAATCGAGAGAAGGGTTGAATTGCTGGAGAGTTGATGACTGGATTTTTACATCCGTGAAACACCAGACTTTGCGCATTTATGCGATCATCCTACATCCACGAATACAAATACATACGAAGAAAGCCTTGTTCAGATGACAACGTCCGGCAACGACGACTGAAATCGAAAAGCTCGAAGTCATGATATGGATTTCACGACATCCTAGTTTATCACCTTGGATTGAAGAGTGAAGATAAGAGATGTCTTGTTTCAAAAACCGCCATCAAAACAGCCATGCCATGGTCATTCCGTAGCTCACTAAGCACCCTTACGAACATATGCTTTTTCCCAAATCCTCAATTTCATTCCCTACCATCCCCTAACCCACCAGGTCTTCCCTTTTTAACCTGGTTGAAGGGCATAATAGTGCTAGTACTTCTTGACTCGACGTACCCTTTTTCTTTTCTTTTTTTTCTTTACGTTTCACTATTTTTGACACCAATCTATCATTCCTAGACTTGATTTAGCTCGGAACCGGTTGCAAATCTCACACGGAGTATGATAGGGAAGAGAGGGTAATGTAATCTTCTGCCACTCTGATTGTTGGATATATAGGGAGGGAGTTCTGTGTGGTTGGTCTATGCATGTACTGTACAATAGGTGGAGGAGTATATCTATATCTCACTAAAACAAATTTATCCATATTCTCTCTTCTCTTCTTAGGTTTGAATCGCCCTAGTTCAATGATCATCCTTCTCTGGTTTGCGAGCTACATGAAGAGACGGCGATCGACGTAGTTCTCTTGCTTTCCGTTTCTATGTTATAACGCAACGTATAGGAACGTAGGAGGGAATCGTTTTCAATATGAAAAGGCTTCTATATATGTAATCTAGAAATGGTATTCGCCGAGTGAAGACCTGCGGGAGAGAAAAAAGATAAAATCCACGGCGAGAAGGCTTTGTAGAGATCCAGGAGAAACTTCATAAAGGCAGGAAACCACAAAATTGAAGAATAAAAAAGAAGATGGACTCCGTATTTCTGATACTTAAAAAACAAAACACACAAGCCTTTTTGAAAACAAGCAGTATGTATACCCATAATTCTAAGACCCTTTCTTTCCTTCTCGTCCATATTTTAACAGGTAAATAAGGAAAATAACCCACGCGCGGCTGCCGCTCATATCAGCGAACATATGTTTTGTAATAGGTATGGAATGGAGTATGTAAAGGATTTGCGAGGAGAAATGAACGAGATCCGTGTTTTATTTTGTTAGTATCTCTTTACCTTGTCGGCGCGCATCTTCTCCTTTCGAGAAAGCCGTTCCGCCGCGCGGATCAAGGCGGAGCGAATCTCGCCTTTGGGGAAGCCGGATATATCGTAGTATATTGGGGCGATATCCTACGAGTGAAAGATATTAGTATTGGTGATAAAGAATGAGTGGGGAATATGTGAAGGAAGTGGTCCGCATGTGGATCGTATAACAGGCCGGAAAACTTACCAAAAGCCACTCTCCCTTCACTGCAGTCACCGTCCTAACATAGCTCTTTGTCGTAAGAACAAATTCATTATACAATATCCACTCCGCTTCGTGACCCAGGACACTACTAGGGTGCAACAGCACTGGCTCATTGTTGTCCTTGACAGTCCGGTAGAGATTCTTCCCCTGGCTCTCTTTCTTAGCGACCTGCATGAAGAAACCGGCCACGAGGGCACGACGGATGTTTTCGTAATATTTTTTGTCTTCGAATGGGGTAGACACGAGTTCGATTTCTTCCCGCTCCATGATACGCTGTAGCTGCTGTCGAACGTTATCGGCGGACTGGAGGGCACGGAGGGAAAGGAAATGATCATGACACCATTGTCGTGGGTTGGATTGGGCTTCGGGACCCTTGAACGCGTGGTAGGCGTTCAAAAGCGTAAGGTGGTCACCGTCAGGGTGTGCGAAGAGGTTCTTCATTTCATCGGCGCGCTTCCTTTGGGAGGCGGGACGGACGAATATTTGTGGGACGGAAAGGAGAGACGTAATGGAGAGAATCTCGTTGGAACAGTAGAATTCCGGGGAGCTGATCAGCATCACGGCTAGAGCAGGGTCTAGTGGAAATTCAGATGCAAGACGGCCTAGAGGTGTAAGATTTCCCTCGTCATCCAAGCAAGCTAGATAGTTTAATTCTTCTAGGGCGCGCATGAGGGTTTCCGGGGCAGGGGGATCCATGAGATCGAAGTGGACAAGGTCGTCGATTCCAAGCTTCTTCAGATCCAACACTGTGGAGGACAAGTTGGAGCGAAGAATTTCAGGGTACGTCTGCTCGATAAGTTCCTTCTTAAATGCGCTCTCGGTATACAGTCTGAAACACTTTCCGGGACGTGTACGACCAGCACGACCAGCACGCTGTTGCGCTGAAGCTTTGGAAATTGGCGATACCAAAAGTGACTCGACACGGATGCGGGGGTTGTAAACTTTCTGCTTTGAAAATCCAGGATCCACGACATACACGATACCGTCGATGGTCAGGGAGGTTTCAGCGATATTGGTCGACACAATACACTTCCGTCCGGGTCGCCCTCCTTCCTTGCGAGGTGGAGGCGCAGGGTCAAAAATGCGTTGCTGTTGCGCGGGGGGGAGGCTTCCATAGAGGGGATATACTCTCATAGGTCCTGCATCGGCTTCTCGGATCATTTCATCTACCTCAAGCGATATCTTCCGCACGGAATCTTCGATCTCCTCCTCTCCAGTCAGGAACAGAAGGATATCACCCTCTGGCTCGTTGGCGTGAATTTGCAAAACGGTACGAATTGCAGCCTCGACGTAATCTTGTTCTGGCTCCGGTGTATAAAAGATTTCGACAGGGTGGGTCCGTCCAGGGACCGCGAGGAGTGGCGCATCACAAAAGTACCGTTGGAATTTTTGGGCATCTAGAGTGGCCGACATGATAATCAATTTGAGATCTGGGCGGCGCTGAACGACTTCTTTAAGCAGACCCATGAGCACATCGGTAGCCATTGTTCTCTCGTGGGCCTCGTCCAAGATGATGGTGCTATAGCGTTTAAGATCGTGATCGTGCATCGCTTCCCTCAACAACATACCGTCCGTCATGTACTTCAAAATGGTTTTCTGGCTGGTCATATCCTCGAAACGAATGCTGTAACCGACTTCCTCGCCAAGTTTCACGTCCATCTCCGCTGCAACTCGCTCTGCAACGGACATGGCTGCAACTCGCCTGGGTTGGGTACACGCCACAAGCTTCCCTCGTTTATGGGGTAAATCGTCGAAGAGTACGAACTGAGGGATCTGTGTGGTTTTTCCCGAACCGGTCTCACCGACAAAGACGAGGATCTGGGATTTCTGGTACAGTCGTAAGAACTCATCTCTGCAGCAGACATCATCATTAGCCAGCCTGAAACTCCTGTATGATAGAGTGCAAAACGTACCTCTGAGCATGAACGGGCAGATCCCTTCGTGTTTGCAAAATCGAGAAATACTTATTTGAGAGCGCTTTACCATTAAAAGGGTTCAGTAAAGAGTCCTCCGCTTCCCTGGCCATAGCAGCTGTTGTTTTGTGTCGCTCGAATCCGTCGAGGATCGAGCACTTAGTAGAATAGCTATTTCCAGCGGCCTCGTTCTCATACCAATGCGCAAGGTACTTATTCTGTCGGGGATCCATGTCTGTGGGCTCCGTCTTTTGTCTCTTTTTCGCACGGGCAGCACTGTCGCCGTCGGGGCGATTGTCGGCCATAGTCATCAGTTCCAACGCGGCGGATTCTCGAGGGTCTGCGGGATTGCGCACGCACCGAGATGGAAATTGGACGGTTGTTGTGTTGTATGCTGAGAATGCTGAGAGCCAACCGGGAAAAAAAAGATAAACCCAGACGCCAACAAGAGCAGGTTTAACCGAGAGCTGCTTCGCCTAAACTTCCCCTTTTGGCCTCGCAACAAACAGCCTCACGCTTCACTCTAACTTATTAAATATTCAAAAACTTCCAAACAACCGAGAAAAACTTCAACTTCGGCTGCTTCAACATCTTCATCCACGGCGGAACCCTGTGGGTTGTCGCTCCTTTCCTCGCTTCCATCGAAATATACTGCTCTCACCCAGGGGATGAAGCGCAATTGAACCATAATGGATGCTTGATTTTTGTTTAATCTTCCTTTTTCCCAGACCTATTTTAATGTTTTCCCTTGCTTTATACAACCCCTCCTAGCTAATAGAATTGAATTGCAAGTCCTTAATGCTTTGATTTTCAGTATTTGTTATTTCTTTTTTAAAAGTTTTCTAGTTTTGCGCACTGGCTAGCTATATATGCGCTCTTCCCGCCCAGTTACTACAACTTTCTAGCTGATAGCCTGCTGCCGTTCGATTGTTGCACTATGGAGCCTCACGGTGATTTGGCCCCGGCTTTTTGCATTGGACAACATGAAACCCGACGGACTGTGCCGGTATCGCCTCAGCTAGTCCAGTTGGCGCAAGAGGGTAATGTACGTATTTTGGTAAACCTATGTGTTTGCACTTCACATTTGCACTCCCATTTGCTAATTACCTACTCAGTACGATCTGCTCACAACCCCTATCACAACTCCGGTTTTCCATTCCCGTATCCTCACATTGCTCTCTACCCATCTATCCGACTCCCGTCCACCGGTTTGCGATGCTACTTTAACTTTGGGAACGTCGCATAATACTAGCCCTGTGACGATACCACCACTTTTGCCCGAAGATACCTTCTTGACCCCGAATGAGTCCACAAGTCAGTTGGTTGGTGTCACTAGTTCTTGGATAGATCTCTGCTCGCCAGATCCGTTGATAGCGGATATATCCCGCCAAATATTGAGCCTGGAGATTTCCTATGCAGCGTTTTGTGGCGTCAGTTTCGTTATTATCCCCGGCCCAAGATTACACCATGGAAACGTGCATGGGGAAGGCCTGATGTACTATGCTCGCGCCGTTCAGGATGTTTTGAACGTCGGGCTCTACATACAAGTGCACATCTGGTTTAGTATGGTAGATAATCCAGACCTGGAAACAAACGATGTTGGTGACCTCGCCCCCTTTGCTAGGGCGGAATATCTCAGCGCAAGAGACGATCTGGCTCCTAAGTTGGATTTATTCGGTACATGGGAAGCTTGGGACGTCATCAGGAAATTGTGTAGATATCATTCGAGACTTTTTGTAGGTAAGAATAAAAAAATATATATTATTGCTATTTCTCATATGTCCCTTAGCACAACTTTAAACCCAGTGGTGTGACCGTGAAATGAGGCAATTGCTTTGCGGGAAATTTTTACTGATTTGGATGGAACAGCGTTATCAATCCCAAAGCATCTTCCGCCCATGTCTGTACAGTCACGATGGCATTCTGAACAGGTCCACATCCTCACAATCGCAGGGTCGTCATTCATCAAGAACCAGAAAGGCTACCCAGTCTTGTCCAAAGCCCACCAGGCCATGATTTCTCGGATGATGCGACTCCGTACTCCGCCATGGATTATCTTGTGCGACGTTGGCCCAATTGCTGGTCTTGAGGTTGGCCAAGCAGGTTCAGAGACAGAGTCCACCCGGACAATCAGCTCTAAAGTTGAGTCGGATAAAGACGCTCCTACTCCCGCGGAGGCGCACCAACACTTCAAATCAGGCTCAAACAAGAAGAATTTTGACCCAACCCCTCACCTGTCCTATATGAGGAATCTCCAACAGAAACAGCCTGCTCGGACTCCTATGGAGCGATTTGGAATTGGGTATCAAGATTATTTACAGGCTCCTCTCCAACCCCTTACCGTTAACTTGGAAAGCATAACTTATGAGGTGTTCGAGAAAGATCCCATTAAATATGAATGGTATGAGCGTGCA